AGTTCATAAGCATTTTCCCTTTCCAGTTCACAATCAATTCTACCCCCAGGTCAAAAATATGTCTGGAAAAATGTCCCTAATATAATATTATTTATAAATATACCCGTAGCGGTTAATTGCACAAGTGCATGGAGGCAGGACCTCACAGCAAAAGCATACTCCATAATGTGTTGTACAGTATCATATGTATATTATATGTAATGTAGTATTTTTCAATTGTTGTATTTACCAACATCAAGAAGTCACAAGCAAAGAAAGATTACACAATGGTGCATGTTTAAACAAGAAGAGTTTACTGGTCAAAATTATTTATTAAAGAAATAAACAACATTTTTTTAACCACCAAAAATACACGTTCAAGACAACACAACGGCGGCCCAATATCAGACAGGATTCCACTCTGTAGAGTGGGCAATCATTATGAAGCGGTTGGTTTTATTCTGTGGATTCAAACTGCTCTTCATGTTTTTGGCCACCAGATGTCACCAAAGAGGACTGTGTTGAAAAGCTTCAAGTAATGAACCGTTTTTCAATACAAGCTTCAGAAAGCTTCATTTGGCCATCACTAGTTAGAAGTTGTCCTCTGAGACCCACCACTAGTGATGGTGAGATGAAGCCTCATGATGAACTGAAGCTTTCCACCGAATTGGTCGACTCATGGTTTGAAGCATTGTGATGATTCATTTGCTCTACTGCGCCATCAAGTGGACAATTCAAGTGAAGCGGGCTCTGTGATTATAATGATGTGTCTACCTCTAAACTGAATAAATAAATTGTTTTCATGGTTATTTATCCCTAATATTGTCTCAGTATGTGTGATACAAAAGAGAAAGTGGGAACTATCAGGACAGCGTTTTGGTATGAAACTGTTAGCCTCAGACAGTCAGTCAATAGTATAATTCAGATCATAGATCAGTACATTTGCATATTTGTATAACTATAAAAAGAAAGCTGACACTTTCGAGACTTTATCTAATGTGTAAGCATCACAGCAGATGCCTTTGTGTCAACATAGCTGAGGCTAAAACAGAAAAACGACTCTATAAAAATATTCAGCAGTAGATCAAAACCGAAAGAAAACCATTAATCAACATATGAACATTACCTGATGCTGCTGAACTGAAGCAGAGCAAATTACAGAGGTTTTATTAGAGACACACCTTAGCGTTTTGCAATTTTGCATAATGTTAAAAAGCTTAAATTATTTTAGTAGCCTATTTAACGTGTGTGTGTGTGTGTGTGTGTGAGAGAGAGAGAGAGAGAGAGAGAGAGAGAGAGTGTGTGTGTGTGAGAGAGAGAGAGAGAGTGTGTGTGTGTGTGTGTGTGCGCGCGCGTGTGTGTGTGTGTGTGTGTGTGTGTGTGTGTGTGTGTGTGTGTGTGTGTGTGTGTGCGCGCGCGTGTGTGTGTGTGTGTGTGTGTGTGTGTGTGTGTGTGTGTGTGTGTGTGTGTGTGTGAGAGAGAGAGAGAGAGAGAGAAAGCTGTGAAGTGTGATTTTATCCTGGTGGAAGTAAAACAGCAAAAGTCAGAGGAAATCCACGACGATGTTTATGTGAAGCATCGTTTGGATCTCCTTTTGCTGCTGGTTCGGTCAATATTGTTTGAAGTGAAATAAAACCTGCAGCTTCAGAATCAGCGCAAAAAAGGCATAAACACGAAGCACGGACACGCCGACGGATCAGAATCAGTGAGCTGTCGGCTTTCAGCCCCGACCGTGTCCGTGCTGTCTGGTGAGAAAGGCGACATCTCACTGATTCTGATGCGTCAGCGGTCCGCAATTTGTGTTTATGTCTTTGTGCAGAATCGATGTACCTGCTCTCATTTACTGTTTTAGCTGTTTGGTGGTTGTTGAAATGTGGTAATATTTATGTTAAAAATCGATTCAGGATTTTAATGAATCGATATCACGTTATCCAAGCTAGAATCGACTTTAATCGATAATCAAAACCTTCCCCTAGTAACTGTGTAATCATGCTTATGTACATCTGGATAATGACACAAACTAGTGTTTGGCGCTTCACTTTTTAATAAACTAAAAGACAGAAATCAGATTATAGGATCTGTAGTGTTGTTTATTTATATTATGGTGCTTATCATTTGTGATATTTATTACTGTGTGCATACTTTATTAGGAGAGATAGAATAAAATAAAAATCTCTTCCTTGCTGGTTCCATCGAAGAGGAAATGCTCAAGTAACTATGTAGGACGTACGTAATCCAATTCCACAACACAGTGTGATGGGAAATCAGCTGTGTTTTTCTGCCCATTTTATTTCGAATCTGGCGCGAACCGGTGAACCAGTCACGTGGTACGGACTGCCCGCGAGGCCTCGAACGTCACTGCCTACGTAATCAAAGCGAGCCTCGATACCCACTTCACAAAAACGCCCCCGAGATTACTCGACACACGATTCGACGCTTCAACACACAGGACATATCACTACCCACCACCCTGCAAGCATATAGTCAGTGGTCACTCCAGTCTCTCCAACTCTGCTGCCTTTAGGCTGTGGCATATAATAGGCCCTGGCCTGCACAGAGAGACAAAATGACACCTTCACTATAGAATTCATAGCACAAAACCCATCCATCCCAAACATATCTGTTTTCATCACATTACATACCTGCACAGAGAGACAAAATGACACAGTTTTTAGTTTTTAGTGCGGGCTATAAGTAGACCAGTGTATCAGTGCAATCAAGTACACCTGCCTCTAATTAGTCCACCCCCATTCCAGCCATTGGCTCACCAAAAATGTGACACACACACACACACACACACACACAACCACTCCCAACCAACTTCACACAATAATATGGAGCTGAATTAACACAGGCACATTAGTCTACCATGTTACAAGCTGCATGCTGAAATAGTCATTGTCCCAATGACCATGTAATCTATAAATATTAGTTTCTAAATCTCTGTGGGGGCAGTCCTTTGGTCGTTCTTGTTGACGTCTAGGTTCTTGATGAATGGGTCCTGTCTCGATGCCCTCTGGGCCAGCCTCGAGAGGGATTTCTGTAGGAAGCCAAAACCCAACCCAGGGTGGAGCAGCTGGAGATCTACCAATGTGTGGCAATGCATTTCCAGTTTTTAAATCTTCCTGCCTGGCTGTCTCCACCTCACTCCTAGAGTTCTGCATATCCTGTTGCATAGGTAGCAAACAAGGTCTTAGTAAGTTACGATGCAACACTTTCTCAACATTTCCCCCTTCTTGTCTAATCACATACATAAATCAGGATCTGCTTGTTTTATGACGACATAAGGTCGCTGCTCCCACCTTTCTGCCAACTTACCTCGGCCCCTTGCTCTCAAGTCCTGTAGCAATACTCTCTCTCCAGGCAGCAATGGAAGAGCATCTGTTTTCAGATCATAATATTTCTTTTGCCGGGACATTTCAGAGTCTCTTGAGCTTGAGCTTTTTGGAAGGCATACTGCAGCCATCTCTGATGGCATTGCACCCAGTTGTTCACAGAAGAGCAGCCCACATTTTCAGTAAGGCCCATCAGCCGATCCTGGGGAAGAAATCCATGCCTTCCAAACATCAAATAATGTGGTGAATATCCTGTAGAGCTGTACACTGTATTGTTATATACCTGGATCATTTCAGGCAGGTGATCTCGCCAGTTTTGCCTCTCTTCACCTAATGTGCCCAGCAACCCCAGAAGAGTCCGGTTAAGCCGTTCATAGGCCCCATTTCCAGCTGGGTGATAGGGTGTTGTATGATCCTTCTTTATGCCATACAATTCACACAGCTCCTGCACTAGTTGCGATTCAAAGTTAGGACCTTGATCTGACAGCAGTCGTCTCAGTGCACACACTAAGGGAGTTACAACATGGAACGCACTGGGAGCAAGGGACGAGCACGATTGGAAAATTGCACTTTTGAGTGAATTGTTGGACTTGTCTGTCTGTTTCACTGTAAATAAACGCACTGTGTTTCTGTGAAGAAGAACCGCGCCTGGGTCCCTCTTTTCCGTGACAATATTTAATAATATATATTTTCAGAAAAAAAATATTGAATAAAACAAAATTCTGTTAATCTTAAAACAGACCATTTTAAAATAGCATTTTTCCCTCTTTATTTCAAGAACATTGAGCATTCTTGAGCGGTAATATGCAACTTTTGTTATTGATATTAAACATTTAAGGGGCTCCAATAAAATGAAAAAAGTACATTTTGCTACTGTAATACAAATGTGAGATTCTAATTTGGTCCAACTTGAGGCCAGATCAGGAAATACAGACTCATCATCTGGCCCACAGCTGGCACACATCAGTAAAACACATTCATATCAGCCCATTTGGCCTGGATCTGGCCAAATATGTTGTGTGCCAAGCAGCTATGTACAGCAAAGGTAATAATATCTAATCCTTCGCAAGCTGGCTGTGGGATTGTCATGGACTCCTACCTCTTCAGTGCCATGTAAAAGAGCTTTCTCCGAAGTCACATATTTTCTTAGCAAAAATGTAAACAGTTAGTCAAACACAGTTGAAAAAAAAATATTATTCCTTAATAAAACGGAATCAAGTCACTATCACCACACTATTCATAACCACAATCATTGTCCCATAATTTGAAAACACTGCAACAAATCATGTTTTTGAGTTTTTTGTTATTTATAGACTTCTATTAGCATTACACAAGCAGAAAAAATAAGCGCAAAAAGGTTGATAAAGATGTTTTTAGTTCTATTTTAGGCACTGGTTGTGCAGTGAAAATGAAGATTGAATAAAGATTTTGACCACCAGAGGGAAGTTGTGTGCACTTGAAGCCTCAAGAATGTAACCTTTTTATGAATCAAAGCTTTAAGACTTAATAAAACTCAATTTCGACATCTCTATATCACGACATCATTACTTAGGTACAAGAGTTTTAAGGCAAAACGCGCAAGATTTAAAAAATCGACATCAAGACATCAAATCAGACGTGACTCCGTTTCGGGGGCGGGAGCTAGAATGTAAAGTACCAAGCGCTCTCGTCAGTGTAGACACAGCGCGTCCGCCTTAACAGAAGGACAGTTCAACACAGTTTTAATTTGAACTAATAGACAAAATAATAGACGAATAGAGGGAAAAAAGTTCTGAACATTTCTGAATCAATCAAACCAGCTTGTAATCAGTCAGCTGGACTCAGCGGAAATGGCTATTTTCTCACTCTGTTGGATTCTTCTGTCTCATACTTTCGTCTGTTCAAGTTCCTTTTACGGTAAGCTGCGTGTATCGTTTTCTCCTTTGTTTTAGAAGTTTGATCTGACTGATCGCCTTATCTGTAGGATAAATCGTGGACAGGGGGCGTATCCACAGGCATGGGCTAAAATAATGCCCCCCCCCCCCCTCCCCCCATAGTCACCCCAGTTTTGCATATGACTGTGTTGTTTACTGAAACAACATATATGAAACATGTACACTTACTGCATTTGCTTTTTTAAACACCAAATTTAATATATATATATATATATATATATATATATATATATATATATATATTAGTGGGTGTAACATCTGCATATGTGTAAAAATGACTTTGACTCTTTGACTTTGCCACTCCATTTGAGAAAGAAAATTTAACCAGAAATTTGAGAGGAGCTGTGAGTAGATTTTTTTTGTTTGTTTGTTTGTCTTTGTTTTTCTTCTTATTTTGTCTCCTGTTTAATGGGGTTATTTAAGGTTTGAAATTAATTCAGCTTTTGACTCTCAGGATGATGTCAATACGTGTAAAGACAGTAATGTTAAGTGTGCCCTTTAGAATTCCATTCTTAGAGTACCTTTGGTATTTATTTTCATTTTAGTCCCAAGAGAGTACAAAGATGAAAATGAACAATAATATAATCAGCAAGAAAGCAAAACTGACCTGTAAGGGCAAGGGCCATACCAAAAGTTTGATCTGTCATTATGTTTTTATTATAACATGATGACATTATTCTGTTTTTCTGAGAATGACGTCAGTCTCTTATTTCATCACTGTGATGTCATATGGTTTCATATTGAAAATAAAGTGTATTGTACAGCTCTTTCATATGATGTACTACTCAATGTGGTTTCTTTCTTTTTTTTTCTCAAGGGCACCAGCAGTGAAGGTCAATTAATTATTAATGGCTAAGATTTTTGGAGTTTGTCTTTAGAAACAACAATATGATTGCTCTGCAAGTCAGACCTTCAGCATAGAATGTTCTCAGTCCCACCACCAGTTTCTACTGTACAGTTGTACTTTGACCTTTAACCTCTCTGCTCTGTGGTGTTTCCTCTTTCAGAGGAGACCATCACACCTCAGCCTGGACAGAACGCCACTCTGACATGTCAAGCTTCAAAAAACAAGAACATCATAGCTGTAGAGTGGAGCAGAGTTGACCTGGGAAAGGAATATGTCCTGTTGTACCGGGACGAGAACTTCGATCCTCAAAACCAGTATAAAACTTTTGTTAACCGGGTGTATCTGCAGGACAGACAGATGAAGGATGGAAATGTAACTTTGATTCTGGAGAATGTGACGGCTGCTGATAATGGAACATATGAGTGCCGTGTTGTCCAGGCTCAAATAAACCGCAGGAAGAGAGCTAATCTGAAGACTTATCCCATCAGCATCATCCACCTGAGTGTTGTTGACCCTCCAGGTGAGTGTGTAGAGTTGAGTGTGTGTGTGATCAGAGGTGAAGCTGCTGTTATTTTGACCTCTAAACAACAAAAAAGAAGAATTTAGACTTCCCTCCTCTTGATGAAGTTAAGAAGACCTAGTCTGAAATAGAGCACTAAGCAATTGTTATGTAACAAAAAACAAACCAGAGTTTTCTGATTTAAGCTTAAAGCCACTTAGATGTCAGAATGTAAATATATTTAAGTGAGAGATCAACCAAATTAATCATTAACCATGACCGATTTCTGTGCCTTGTAGACAGAAACATTTGCTTCATTTCTGTAGAAGTGAATGTGAAAGTATATAGAGAAATAGAAACTATGTTGGAGTGTTTCTAAACAAACAAATCACCTGTCCTCAGCCAACACCTGGTAAAAAAAACAGAGAAACTGCAGCTCTCTTTCTAAAGATTTGAATCTAGTATTTCGCCTTTATGTCTTTAGACTTGTGTCAGCTGTGTTCCCCGTGTGAAACATGACATTAGATATTATTTTAAAAGTGTTAGGAAAATGATTGATCTGTTTCTTTACCTCAAGTATAGAAGTATAGATGGCTATCATGAAATTTGATTTCCATCTGTTGCCTGTAGGTCAATAGAATCTGATCCTAAACTGATACTAGTATTGACCATATTTGGCTACAGTATATCATAAGAAAATTAAAAACTGCAGAGCTCCTAATGTACATGTTGCAAACTATTTTCTGAATCTCTGTCTACTTTAACCCTCTGGGGTCCAGGGTATAACATGGTAATTTTTGACTACTTTTGATTTTACCTCTATATATTTCACCTTTAAAAACTGTTTGGTATCATTATTTTCAGCACAACCTCAAATATCTGAAAATTGAAGTTATTTTTTTTATTTTGGCATACTATATGACTAAACGTCACTAATGTCTCACATATGAAAACTCGCTCTCTCTCTTTCTTTTGCTCGCACACTTTCTCTCGTGGGCATCACTCCTAAAACTGCCCCCTCTTCCTAAACAACCAAATGCCACATGTTGCCATATCATTTGTTTTTGATTGGCTGACATTGTAAACTTTAACACCAATAGGAAAGGGGTGTTTTTCTTTTTCTTTTTTCACTTGCAAGCGGAGAGTGTTTGCTAGCGCTGTCCGTAGAAAACAGTTTTTACCGTTCTTCCCGCTGTAAACACCACTGTTTTATTCAGAAAAAAAACATTGAGTGTATTTTTGTATCATAACTCTGGTTTTATGTGGCCATCGGCACAATTCAAAAAATGGTATATAGTTTGAAGTCCGCACTTTCGACCCAAGTTAAAATGGAGATTGAGTCACTGCATCTTGTAGCTGTGTCGTCTTAAATTGGTCATGTGATTTTGACGCGCCGGCGCATCCGTCGACCCCAGAGGGTTAAAACACTTGGCCTTGCTAAGACATTGGCAGAAAAAGAACCCCCCTCCCTATGAAGAGTGGCTAATGACGATGGTTAAGTTGGCGTCTTACGAAAAAGGTGGTGGTCTATTAGATAAATTGCATCAATATGATTGTATTTGGTCCCCCTTTACAAGCTGGCTTTCTGTAATTGAAGGACAGAGAAGTACTTGGTGTGGGGATTGGTGTGTGAAGAAAGAATAGGATAACCACCTTTTTTTGTTCTTTTAAATTTATTTATTTATTTATTTATTTATTTCGGTTTTGTTATTGAAGTTTAAAATGAAATAAAAATTGTTGATGATAAAAAAAATAAAATAAAACAGCGTTAGTATCCAGTCATGCCCAGGAAGCTCCCACCTAGTGGTTGGGGCCGGGTAGCTAAGGACAGCCTCAACTTTCACCTCCACCGGGCAAACCTGCCCGAAACCCACCTGCTTTCTCAGGTACGTGACTGTAGCTTTGGCGAACTCGCACTTAGCGAGATTTAGAATTAACAAGGCTTCGGACAATCGCTGAAACACTGATTGTAGGATAGCCACATGCTCTTACCACGTGTCCGTGTATATCACTCCATCATCCAAGTACACATTACACCGAGGCACAGCCCCCAACAACCGCTGCATTAAACGCTGGAATGTGGCCGGGGCATTTTTCATGCCAAATGCCATCACTATGTACTGCATGAAATGGTCAGGTGTGACAAATGCGGAAATGTCAAAGGCCCTGTGTGTCAAAGGTGCCTGCCAATTTTTATTTTATTTAAATTTGTTTGGCAGGACCTATATTGTCAATGCAATCCTCCATACAAGGAAGTGGAAAAGAATCAGAAACTGCCACTGCATTTACCTTCTGGTAGTCGGTGCAGAAACGGGGGGTGCCATCAGACTAGGGCACGGGGAGCTCCAAGGGCTGTGGCTGGGTCGTGCCAAACCGTTCTCTTCCTTTTTCATCACCTTGCGCTTTCCCATGGGGCAGCGGTATGCATGCTGTTTGATTGGGGTTTCTTCACCAACACACAGACACTAGTACGCAAGGGCACATCTCCAAAGAGAGAAGGGTAAGGAGTCCAGTAGCCCAAGAAAATCTCCGCACTCTGAAGGGAAAAAATGAGATGAATGGGCTGTTGCTTCGTCTAAATAAGCCGAATTCGCCAACCGCCCACACTGTTGTCCTTCAGAAAGCACACGCAGGTCGTCGTTAGGTCGTCGTCTGGCCTCTACGCTCAACACGGCGACAGAGACAGAACTGGGGGTTGCTATGTTGGCAACAATCTCATGGGTTTCCCTATCATGGTAGGATTTCAACATGTAAATGTGGCACAGCCGAGTTTTCCTAGTTTTCTTGGCAACGGACCAACACAATCCACCAAAATGTGTTCAAATGGCTCCCCAATGACAGGTATTGGACATAGTGGGGTGGGGGGCACTTTTTGGTTTTGTTTACCAGCCAGCTGACACGTGTGTCAGGTATTACAATAGCCAACCACATCCATCTTCATTCTCAGCCAGAAGTGCTGCAGAATATGGTCATACATTTTGGCAATTCCCAGATGTCCTGACCATGAATGATCATGGGCTAATTGTAGCACATGCTGACGTAAACTAGCCGGGACCACTATCTGTTGGACTGCACTCCAGTTCTTCCAGGCTTTGGGCTCCACCTTTGCATCAGCAACCCATTACACACAAAAAATGTCTGCTTCCTGTCTCCTTTTGGACCATCGCTCTCATCCACGGCGGCAAAAAATTTGGTTAATGATGGGTCCTCTTTCCGAGCAATCATAAGGGCCTCTTGCATGGGGGGGGGGGGGGGGGGGGGGGGCGCCTGCGGGTTCCTTTTTCCAAAATAGAGCCACGGACTCTGACAAGTCAACTGCTTCGCCCTGCCAATGGGCCTGTGACCGGATAAGAACATCTACAGGAAATACATCCAGGTGCTGCCGGCTTAAAGAATCTGACAAAGGCCTTAGGTCAGGAGTCTTCGTGACCTCTAGGGTAGGATAAACCTTCCCGCCTGCTATGTCATTGCCCATTATGAAATCCACGCATTCAATCGGGAAGCAAGGGCACACAGCCACAGGAAAAATCCCACTTATTAGGTCACTCCGCAACCAAACTCGATGGAGGGGGGCAGGCACAAAAGTCATTCCAACGCCTCTCACAATAACATCAGTGCCACTGGCAGTCTTTTCATCAAAGGTAAGTGCACTGGCCAGTATGAGAGACTGTGAGCCGCCTGTGTCGCATAAAATAACGATCCAAGATGGCACCAGTGTACTCGGCAGGCCGTCTTCACCTCTCCTTTCGACCTCTCTTTTTTGACTTTTGAATTTTACTTCTCATTCTCTTGGTAATATGCTCATCAGGTGGCAATGTACTAATAACTTATGATCAACAAAAACTTTCAAATCTTCGATTCTCTCACTCCTATGGTTCGAATCCATGTTGGACTCTGGGAGATGCCACCTTGTCAAGATCGGACTCCTCCACCAGCATATCCTGCCTGCCCCTACCCACCCTGTTCAAGAAACGCTATAGGCAAACGGAGTGGCATTCGCATCCGTCTTAAGGCTTACCTTAAAGCACAGGCTATGGCTAATCAGCATGCTAGCATGGATATTCTACGTCCTCTCTCCTCCTCCCGTGACTGCCTTCTTGCCAGATCGCTTAGCAGTCGGTGGATCTGCCCCGTCGGACAACAAGTCTACCCAGCCCTCTCAGTGGCATGCCTGCCTATTCGGACCTGGATAACGTCTTCCAGAGGTGGCGTGCGTCACTAAGCTGTTTTTGACGCGCTACAAGTAAAGACATGGCATCCATGACACGGATGGCTCTGCTAAATGTAAGGTCACTGGTGAATAAGACTTTTGTTTTAAATGACTTTTTCCTTGACTCGGGACTGGATGTTTTGTTCCTGACGGAGACTTGGGTTCGCCCTGGTGAGTCGTTCTCCTTCTCGGAGCTTCTCTCCCCAGACTGTGCCTTCTTCAGCTCACCTAGGCTTATGGGCAAAGGTGGTGGCTTTGCCTCAGTTTTTAAAAATAAAAATAAAAATAAAATTTTGCTGCTACCCTCCCCTACCTACCCTATCTTTGAAGTTCAGTTACTGGAGTTGGCTGATTCTTCTAAAGCTCTGTGTGTTGTGGTACCGACTGCCAAAATACAACAAGGAATTTATACATGACTTTGCTAATCTATGAGGATCTGTTCTTTTTAAATATGATTGTGTTCTTATCACTGGGGATTTTAATATTCATATCTGTTGTAAGGATGATCCATTAGCCAGAGATTTTCTTGCTCTAACTGACTCTCTTAACCTTTTCAGTGGGTAAATGAACCAACCCACTTTAAAGACCATACCCTTGATCTGTTTTTTTCATATGGCCTGGACATTTGTATTAAGAACACTCACAATGCTGTGATCTTTGATCACTTCCCAGTTATTTTTGATGTTGATCTATGCAATACAGAACTGCACCCTGAGGGCATCCAACGCCCGATGCACATAATTAATTCTGAAACTCTGGCTAATTTTTCTTTGGTGTTCCTTAATTCTGCACCCACTATTACTTATTGTCC